ATAATTAACGAAAATTGTAGAAAGTTACCTTCTCACCAAATTCACGAAGGTTCTCAACCCGCACCAGCCACATCTGTGTGAAAAAACAAGTAATATATAAATTGGGCAGTCAAAAGTCCTCCATTGCATCAGACCTTGTAAACCGATTTTGTCTCCAAGTGTCAAAGCGGGAGCAACTTTTAGTCACGAGCTTTAGACAGAGAAATTCAGCAGCCGTTAAGTATAAAATTTTAGAAATTGAAATCCCCACTACTGAAGGACAAATGAAGGAGTCAACAGGTCAGGATGTGTAGGGCCAAGTTCTCTCATTGCACCAACACATGGAGGCAAAGGAGAATATCGCCATTATAACATCGCCCAAGAATTCCTATTAACAAAAAACAAAAGTGTAACCGGCTAGATAGACTTTGGAAAACTATAGACTTTTGAAACAATGAGAATACACGGGCAACCTGACTAAAAGGAGAAGAACCGCAACAAGAATGAAGTTTCAAAAAGGCCCCTGTTATGTCTATGGCAGATATGAAACAGAATGGCTATGGAAGAATGCAGCTCTCACCTTGTACAACAACTACGAGACAGTACTCAACAGGCTCAAGAGTACAACTAGAAAATTACGCAACAATCTCAAATTAAAAGTGGTTTATAAAAGTATCTTAGCCAACCGGGTTATGCACGGAACGGTCTTGCACAAAGAAAACCAATATCCATGTCCCATCAACAAGAAGTGCGGAAAGATTACGTCACCACGACAATCAGAATCGTTTCAGTTCATCCTCCAAGCAAAGCAGAGAATTTTTGCTCAGTGAAGTACTACTCAGAAGACCTGTACTACTCCACCTCACGATAAGCATTCTGCTTTGATTTCGATGCCATATACTATTGTGGTTAAAAGCGTTTTTGAATATTGGTCCACATAGGCAGGAACGAAACACCAAAAGGTTCCTCCGGATGAAAGATTTTAAGAAAGCAGTGATGCCCGACAACCCTGTCATCCTTGGATTCAAGAAACCCCTTTTTAGAGTCATAAGCAGTCTCCGCATCCTCACAACAGTTGTCAACACTCACCTCTAACGACATCCAAGCGCACTAACTGAGAAATTCTTCTAGGATACCTACCTAAAAATCATTCTAATTCATGCCAGTTTCGCATACAAAGCAGGAGAGGAACCTAAACAAGCAAAATACCTGTCCTCTCTTGCAGGGTTGAGCCTATGAGAGTTTGCCTCTGAGAATGTGGAACATGGAGCACTACCAGTCAAAGATATTTTGGGACTTCTTAGTCTACGAATAAGGACAAAC